GAAGTAGTAGGGAAGAAATGAAATTCAAAATGGTTATCGTTGTAAAATTTCTGTGCTGCTTCTTTTTACATAAATGGCACTTGATGTGTCGGAGCTGAATTGTGAGAGCTGAGTGTCCAACACAGTCATACTCCAAAACCAGAGTTTTATTACTCGCTTCAATTAGTCATGGAAAGTAGCTAGTTTCTTTTTTCATTTTAACTTTTTGTAGGACACAAGTATCTATGGAATTTGGTAAGGTTTCTAAAAACAGTGTGACTGAGTTACAGAGATTTCTGTTAGAGTGTCTATGTAATTTCTCCCTTGTCATTATCTGTTTCTTGTAGAGTTTGATAATCTTTTGTCTTCCACTTGTTTTTAGATAGACACTTTATCGTTTTATTATGGGATGCAAAGTATAGGCACAACTTCTGTCACTGTTTTATGTAGGACACAATAATTTAAACTAAAACTCTTTCAATAGAGAACCTTTATAGTAAAACTCTATGCAGTATATATTAAAAGGTGAACTATAGCAGACTGAAATACAGAATAATTTATTACTGGAAAAATTATAAGGAAAAAATATACTAAATACAACAGCAGAATTGAGTTTTGAACAGTAAGGACCGTATGATAAGTTACCATATTAAAAATTCCATTTAATTAAGTCTAGAAAGTGTTAATGAGCATTGGTTACTCCATTAATGACAATGAAAACCAGCATCCCATTGTGAATCAAGTGACAAAGCTACTACCAGCAAGAAACCAAAAACCATGAAATGTACAGGCTTGATCTTAACTACAGTTAGAGAATGTTTAGGGCAATCTTGGAAGAAAAACTAGAAAAAAAGTTCAAAATTGAGGATATTCAAGAGTGTTTGTGCTTTTCTCTTTCCATGAACCTAGAAAATAGAGATGAAATAGCTGGAAGTTGTCAACTGTAGGTGTTACAGAATGGAAAACAAATCATTACATCCAAGATATATAGTATTATGTAGCCAATTGAGTTTAACTGTGTGAAAAGGTATGGAAATTTAATTTGTTTATATGCTTTAAACACTAGGTTCTAAAACTGACGTTTACTTTATAGATTACCAGATTACTTTAAGTATGATGTTTAAGAAAGGTTAGTGATATCTTTATTGTCAAGCTTCTGTACCTTAAGTTCTCTCAGTTTACTTCCTTCATTTAATGGACAGATTAGCCAAAAAGTTTCTTTTTAATTTTTGCTGCATAGACAAACATGCTTTGTCTGGCTTCCTGTTATCTCAGCAGACTTGCCTCCCATCTTTTGCTGCTTCATATAGATTATTTCTAATTGTGATGCTGCCATTATTTTACTCATATTTTGCTGTGCATTGATTTTTTGTATACATTGATGATACAAGAAGTATAAATGGTATATTGTGTATTTTTCACCAAGAACTACTTGTAGTACATATAACTATTATTTAAGTCTTATGAAACATAGAAATTCTTATTGGATCTAATATAGTTCTTTTCATTGTGTGATCATTGTTTACAGTAATATAACTTTTATTAAGTTGGCCTAATTGCTGAAAATTCACAGATTAGGTTCTTGCAACAAAAAACCCACTAGTATAGAGGTTCATAATAATTACTGTGAGATTTCTTCTTTGAAATCCATTGCGGTGTTGCTGTCAGATGTGGGCAAGTTTTGCCAAAAATTTGAGCCTTAATCAGCATTTTTTTGTGGGTGGAAGTGAAAAAAAACCAAAAGAATTTTGTGGGTGTAAACCAAAAAAGTCGCATTTTTCTCTGAACAGCTGTATAATAGCCACTTTGGAAAGCTAAATAATAAACACAGAAGGAAAAGGTTTCATGCAGTATGTAGGAAGGTTTCATGCAGAATGTAAGGCAAAATATTTCTGGCGTCCATACTGTGGGAGTTATTATAGAGTACAAAATGCTAAGTAAAATTGGCTGTATGCTTGGACAGCTGACACTTCAAGAAATGAGACAGAAGTCAGAGTCCTTTTCAGAGCAGTGCCAATTGCCAACCACTGATGGGTTTGGAACTAATTAAGCAGTAAGGAGTACACATAAATGCTGGATCATCTACAGCTTGTAATACCTGTGTTTTAGAGATTTTGTTTCAAAATTAGGCTTTCGTGTCGTGTAAAACTCAGATTTGTATTTTTAAACTCAGACATCATATTCTGCTTAAAGTTAGCATATCATTCCTGTGTATATGTAATGCATAAATGTAAAACAATGTTTGTCGATAGAGGTAATATCTTTTATTGATCCTTTTTTATCACTGGAAAAATCAGGCAAGCTTTTGAACACATAAACCTTATGTCTGAAACAGAAAAAGCAGATTTCGAGGATAAAAACCTGCAAGCAATTGCTCAATATTTGAACATCTTTAAGAAAAAAAATAATTAGTACGTACAGAGTAGAGGAGTTGTTAGTAGAGAGAGAAAGAAAAGAAACAAGGGATTCCAGTATGTGTTTTGAGGAAAACACTTGCAAATCCTGATTCAAGGATGTGTATCCAAAAAAAAAAAAAAACTCCATAGAAAAAATCTGCAATTTTGAAAGATTTATCACAAAGCCATGTAGGGAATTCATTTTTTAAAAAACATTACTGATTATGTATCTCATTTTCACATCTAATTTTACCCTGGAAAAAAGCATCTATTGTTGAAATTTTCTGAAAGTAGAACATTGACAATAACAAAAACTGCAATCTAAATAATTCTAAGCTACAAAAATAAATTAAAAAGTAGTAAAGCAGAAATCCTTTAGGACAGAAATAGTCATCAGGGCACAGCAGTGGCAGCGGCTCCTGAGGCTGGTGTTGGATGGGGGCTGCTGGCAGGGCCCATCCGTCCCCCTGCATGGAGGGGGCAGGGCCCAGGCTGCGGCATTGCAGGGTAGCGACTAACGACTAACGGCCCTGGGCTGGGCTGAGATGGGGCTGGGGCTGAGGGGAAGAGGCTGTTGGGGGGTGGGGATGAGGAGGCCCGGGGGGCCCCCAGCCTCCAGACAATAACTTGCTACTTCTTTGTCCTGCTTTTTGGTCAGTGATTTTTTGATCAGCAGACCATTTTTACTTGATACATGTTTCTATCTGTAGCAAATAATTTTGCCTCCGCGTTAAGTCTTGTCACCAGAAGTTTGTAGCTGCTATATCGCTTCCTTCTGTTCTCAGTGACTATGAGGGCACACGTTTCTTTTGCCAGCTGACATACATTTTCAGTAGCATGTCCTCAAGAAATAGAAAAAATGTAATTTTATAGAATTTAAATAGGTTCTGATTCTTGTTTTGTAAAGATCTTTATAGGCAGTTGCTTGGGATTATTTTTGAACTTTCTCATGAACAGGAATTGGCCCTAGACGCCTCTAAGAAAGGTGTTTTTCTTTGTGTAAAGAAAAAGCAAACAAACAAAAAAGATGGAAACACCACCATATGTGGTATTTTGAGGCCTTCTAGGAAATGTGGATTTCATTTTTTTCCTCCTCTGTGTGGTTCAGTACAGGGTCTTGATTTCGTTCATGTATGTAGGTGAATGGGTATTACCCAATGGTTCTTTCTAACCTCTTGTTAGAGATAAACAATCAGTGTGTGACATTGTGTAAGTATGTAATTGGCTTTACATCTGCCAATAGTAAGAAAATGTAAAGGATTCAATTTCAAGTATCTCTTCCAATTAATATTCTTTTATACTACATGAATCAGTTCCAACAGGGAAGTTGGAGGTGGTCCAATCAGCTGAGCTGTGCGAGACCTGGATTTCAATTTGCTCAGAGTCAAGCAGGGAAGAATATTAGTCTTGGTGGCAAGCAAATAATGTGTCTTCTAATTGCTGACTGTCTCGTGGTCCTAACCACCAAGCATCCTAAAGCAAATTTCTTAGGTTAAGCAAACAAATAGCCAGTTCTTCATCTGGGACCAATAATACAAGCCCCAAATAAAGCTTTCAATAATTGAACTTGGGTTTTACACTTCTCCGATATCTCAGAAATAACCTGAGAAATTTGCTTTAGGATATTTGGAGCTTCAGCTTGGTCTATGTGAGAAAGCTTGTTAACTGTGAAGGAAGAATCCTCTACTCAATTCTGCAATATTTTTTCAATGAAAAAGTAGAGTAGCAACTAAGCAGTGATGTTTTAAAGACAGAGATGGATGCCTAAAGATATGGATAGGTGTCTAAGTGATTTTGAGGCTCACATTCTGTTCAGAGAAAGTGCTTTGCTGTAGAGAGACTTCTTAGCTATATTCAGAGCTCTGATAGGTGGAAAGCAACCAGCCTCTGATTCTCTGTGGCTATCCTGAGCGCATATAATATCAGACTACTGAGAGATAGAGTGCAAAATCCCTGAAAAGGCTATAATTTGGGATGGTATGTATCTGTATCAGCACACTTTCGTACTTTAGGATTGGGGGGTGGATCCTATTAGAAATTGGGTACCTAATTTCTCTATCTTTTTTCATATCAGAGATCCAATGAGAGTGGTGTATTGTCTTTAAAATTCTGCTCTGAAATCGACAGTAGATAGTAGGAGATCATTATTCTAGGAAGTTGGGAGTTCTCTACCAATACTGATATTTATGCAGTCCTGGATTTTTGTTGATTACAGGATTCTTCCTCTTACTGTCTTTCGAGCATCCAATATGTAAAGATCAGATTTTTCTCTGTTACTGGAATTAAACAGAACTTTATTCTGAAAATAGTTTGATTGATTCCAATGGGCAACCTACAAAGTAAGGTGCATAAATAAGGATATCAGAGTCTGGTCCTGACTTCTTAGAAAGTTCTCAAATGCTGATTTCAGATATATGAATCTCTGGCTTCATCTAACCAGAAACGGAGTTGAGTGGTACAGAAAACAGGCCACAAACCGTATTGAGACTTGATATTCTGCGAAAATACAAAATGAATTATTGTTTACCAAACATGCCTATATAGATGGCAGGAAATACCTGTTGGCCTGATCACATTATGTTAGTTTTGTTGAATTCCATTTATTTATTTATTTTGTATTTTCAGGTAGAGATTGAGAAGCTGGATTATCATTATTATCTGCCTTTGTTTTTTGATGGGCTTACTGAAATGACATTTCCATATGAGTTTTTTGCTCGGCAAGGAATCCATGACATGCTGGAACATGGTGGAAACAAAATTCTTCCTGTCATTCCTCAGCTCATTATCCCAATAAAAAGTAAGTGAACATGTGGGAAAAAACCCTAAAACTGAATTTATATAGTGTAACTTTTTGACAAGTTGCTAATTAAGCAATAAAACATGACAGGCTGTGCATTTCATGGAGATTATTGTTAACCTGAGAAAATTGTAAGGTATGAGGCCAGAAGGCATATGCCTTCAATCACCTGATATGTGTAGTAATCCCATGAAAACAGACTGTCTGGTTAGTCTCGTAATAACGTGCCTCTTGGTCTTTGGAAGTGTGATGTAACATTTTTCTTATCTGATTTTTATATATTGGTTATATAAATCCATTACTGTATAAAATGGTTTATCTGAAAAGAGAAGAGAAAACATTAGAAGAAATTTATAGTTATGTTTCTTTTTTCTTTTGTTTATTCTACAATTGTCTTATATTTATTCACTAGATAGATAGCTTTTTTATCTTCATTCTCATTGCTTACCATATGTGTGTATATATATATACAAAATTGGGAGTTTTGCCTGACTGATGAATGCTGTATGTAAAATTTTAGCATTTTTTAAAAAATATTGATTTTGAAGTTTTTATACATTCAAACATAATTTTCTATTGAACAGTTATATGTAAGGGAGCAAATGATGTGACTACAGGTATAATGCCAATGAAGCTCTTTTTATTTGAAAGACTTCATCTTTCAGATACATTGTTTTGTCCTTTCTTACTTCTTCAGGTCAGTATCTTGAGTAGATGTTATTCTAAACCGTCATCGTTCTCCAGTTAGGCATTACGATTTTTACATCTGCATGCTACAACTATACTAATAAATTAGACAGTGTCATGCTACATTCCTGGACACTGGGAGATGTTAATTTCTTACAATGGTTTCTGATGTAGTTTTGGCCCATGCTAACTAGCGTTGGAAGTGATTTTGGAGTTAGCATAGGGCAGGGTCCATTCTTTATAGGCAGTTTGGATGCAGTCTTTTTTTTTTTTTTTTTGAGACTATGGAAGTTTAATAGAATTGAATAACGTTGTTCTGTGCCAGTTAGCATCCTCGCTTCCATTTAATTTTAGCAGTTGTAACCATGTAATGCTCGGGTACATTGCTTATGTTTTTTAAAGTTGGCTTCTATTTTATCTTTGGTCAGCAGGTCAGGCCTATTTTTGGTCAGGCCTTTAGTCAGGCTTATTTTCTGGAGGTGATTTGGCATTCATGCTAATACAGAACAAACCCAAGTCATTATATTTGTGATACAGAGTGATTAAAGTCAGACACAATGTTGGGAATAGGGAAAAGGGAATATGGTTTGGAGTCTGGCAGTACTGAAATATTTGTGTTGGAAGAATCAGAATTGTTTTTCTTTTCTTCACTTTTCTTTTAAAAAGATTAATTAAAGATGTCATTATCTATATCTTAATGTACTAGTAGATTTTTAAAATGTCAAAAGGAGTATGTAATATTCCAGAATAGTTACTCTGTAAGTGACACAACCCTGTAGGGGCCAAGTACAAGGTAGTACAGACCTGGGAAAGGTTATAAAAACTACCTTACAGTTTTTGTCTCCAAAAGGAGAACATATAAAGAGAGGAGTCGTGCAATTTCTTTAAATCTGTATTTCTAATATTCAGAAGTAACATATCTGGATGCAGACAACAGCTAAATATATTTACAGTAGTATAACTTTTTTAAAAGCTGAAATAGTTCCTTCAGAAAAGACTACAAGAGTATGATCACAGCTCCATAGTTAGGATTTAACAGTCTTGCTGAGACTTGAATCTAGCTTAAAAATGATTACCTAAGACCTTTAGCTACTCTATAGCTTTTAACATTGGAAAGTAAGGAAATTTATATTGAATTATTTTAAACAGAATTATAATTTAGGGTGCTGGAATACATTCACGAATCTGCTAGTTAAATTTAGTTAATGATTTTCTCGTATTTTATTGCACATAACTCATTCTTTTATTTAAAAAGTCTTTTTTGGCTTTAATGTGTGAAGAGCCTAAATATTATCAGTGATAAAAGTTTCTCCCTAATTAAAGCTATATTAATATTAAAAATGATACTGCCATCTCAAGGAATCTGAAGTGTATTCCTGTAAGAGTTTTAAAATTTTCTGTGACAGCGTAATGTAGCAGTATAGCCAGAGCTGCATATTTCTGTGACTCAGCTGTATCCACAATAAACTAAGCTATTTTTTAACCATATTACTGTCTCTAAAGTGTCCCACTGGGTGAGCTGTATCTGATTAGCCAGTCTTCTTCTAGACCACTACCATATTTCTACTGTGAAAGAGCAAACCAACTGATTGTTAGGTAAGGGAATATGTAAGACAGAGGGGAGTGGAATAAAAGAAAGACAGGAAAATAACTCTATAAATAGAATACTTTTCAAAGCAGCTTTCTCTCCTGCATGTCAATCAAAGGAAAATATTAGTGAAGGGCTGCTCTCTAAAGACATTTTAAATTAAATATAAGATTTCTCTATTATATTTTAATGATATAAAGAGAAATTTATCCTCCTCCCCAAAACACATGCTCTTACTTAAAGTTCATGCTTTGTGAATGGTATATACTTAAGTTTAAAATGATATTATTTAATGAACTTATAGATTATTATAAGCCAAATCCTTTCTACGAATTTTCTTCCAGCTGTGCAAACAGGAAATTGCTAACAAAAAGGAGATAGCTGAAATTAACAGATCCTTTTTTTTTTTTCTGGAAACACCTGGAATAAGATTAAAATAATATGGATATATGCAATTTATTTGAAACATAATTGCCTATCATTATTTTTCACATTATAAGACACTTTTTTGGAAATTCAAAACAAGAAAAAAATAACAAATTGAAGGCATTGATTTGTCAAAGAGAAAAACATTCAGAATATATTTTGATTTCTCAAAAAAACAAAGTATATTTTACTTTACAGTGACAAAGGATGATAAAATAGTTTACGTACACAGTCGTTGTATGGCATAAAAACTAGGAAAAACAAATTACCTGTGTGTGTCAAACTTGCAAGAGAATAAATAGAGCTAAAACTTAAAAATGAAAAATCATAAAATGTAAGGAGTTCAAGGCGTTTAGACTTTTCCCTCCCTTTCACAAAAAATGTAGACAAACCCATTGTTTGAGTAATTCAAACTAGAACGGAGAGCCATCCTTTGCGATACAGTGCAAATAACAAAGTACTTTGTAGAGGTATTATGTAAGTTTTGATGCCCAACATGCAGTGGAATATCTTCTCCCTTGCCAGGAAGATCTGTATTATTGTTTTCATACTGTAGAAATGGAAAGAGGTAGAAGGAGACTAATTTTGCCCCATGTCACAAACTGCATCTGTGGCACAGAAAAGAATAGAACGTAGATCTTACAAATCTCTGAGGTGGGAAGCAAAGCTGCCTGTAAGTCACATCAGACTTCCTTATTTTTAGGACACAGGACAGTCTGTCTGGCTCCACCATGTCTATCAGTAATACACTGATTTATATTAAAGCCAACATGTGGCCTCAAGTTATCTATACACAGTCAAGAATAGCTAGGAAAAAGGGCATGGAGGTGAGAGATGCCTATTGTCTGTAGTATTTGTTTGCAAATGGAAAAGTCCTGTTGAAGATTCTGTCAGATCATTAGAAGAATGTAAAATTCCTTTTAATATTCATTCTTCTGGAAAATTACTGCTTGTAATACTAAATTTACCAGAATAGATGACAAATCATAGAGGCCATAGTTCCTTTCATGTACTTTCCATGGGCTTT